TTTGAGCATATGAAACTTGAGAGGAAACAAGGGCAGTTTTACCTTGAGCAACTTTGGCTTTGGTGAGCATGGGATGAGTGTTTGCACGAACTAAAGCATCTTGAGTGTTAGGAAGAAACTATGGTGGAGACAAATCAACTTGAAGATGGTAGGATGAGAATGTAGGACTAGGTGCAGGAGAAGACGAGGATAAGAACTGAGGTGATCTTAAATCTACTTCCAAGTGACATGGTTGAAGAGTGGTTGTAGAAGTGGGACAGGATAATGGTAGATGTGATGAGGCTAAAGTTGAATTGAAAGGAGATGATTGTGTTGAGGGTGATTTTAAAGTGGGTGGCTAGGGTGATAGTAGAGATGATTGTGAGTTTGATAAAGGTGATTTGAGAGCCTATGTAGGTGAGTAAGCTGAGGAAGTAACAGGAATAACAGATGGTACAGCATAAGTTTTCTTACCAATCGGTGATGGTGGAATAGGTCAATTACAAGGTACTGTTGGAGGAACTGTAGCTGGAGAACTTGTATCAATTGTCTTGGTATTGTGTTTAAATGAGACAAAAGGAAAATTGGAGGTATTTGTAGCTAGTTTAGAAGAGGTTATGTGTGTAGGAGAAGGGACAACATTAACAAAATTGTGAGAATAAGGAAACTTAAACTCATTAAACCTAACATTAGGAGTTATATAGACTTTACCATTAGAATTCATACACTTGTAACCTTTATGCACCAAGCTATAGCCTATAAATAAACATTTAGAGGAATGAAGACTAAACTTGTGATTATTAAAGTCCCTTAAGTAAGGAAAACAAGCACAACCAAACACTTTGAGAGTTGAATAAAGTGATAATCTACCAAACAGAACCTGATATGGAGAATTAAATTGTAAAACTGAAGATGGCATTCTATTTATAAAAAAATACAGCTGTGTCAAATGCACACCACCAAAGATGCATGGGCATGGATGCATGAGCAAGTAAAGTTAAGCCAGTTTCAACAACATGTCTGTGTTTCCTTTCATTCCTACCATTTTGTTGATGGACATATGCACATGAGTGTCTAAATTGAATTCCAGCAATGTTAAGACAGGAAATTAGGCCTTTGTATTCCTCTCCTTGATCTGATTGTAAGCACTTAAGTTTGTGACCAAATTGTCTTTTAACTAAGTGGTGAAATTTAATAAAGACAGAGGCAAATTCAGCTTTAGTTCTTAAAAGGAATAACCAAGTAAACCTACTAAAATCATCTATGGACTGAAGATAATACCTAAATCCTTCTAGAGAGGTTAATGGGGTAAGACCCCAAACATCACTATGCACAAGAGCAAGTGGTTCAGTTGCTCTTGAATAAGATGTAGGAAAATGATTCCTATGCATTTTACCAAGTTGACAATCATCACAAAAGGGCACAACAGATACAATGTTAGATTTGGGCAATGAAGTACTAGACATGTGATTCATAATTTTGTGAAAAACTTCAGCATGAGGGTGGCCTAACCGTTGATGCCATATCATAGACATGATGTCCTTAGTGTTATTAACTTGACATGACAAAGCAGAATTTTGAACAGATGCATCAGACACAACAAACATTGACTTATTAGCAACATTAGATAAGCAAGTGATATCAACATCATCAGGATTTTTAACATATGCATCAGAAACAGCAAATTCTAAAGTATTAACAGCATTAGTCAATTGAGTATTATAAACATTTCAAACAAAGTTGGTATTAACATGATCAAGGTAACAAAAATCATTTTCATTGAATGATAGCTGTGTATAATTATTAGAATCAAATTGACCGGCAACACAGTTTGTGAGATTAGAAGCTATATTAGGCAACACAGAGCAAGCATTATTTGTACTGGTAGTGGCTAAATCACTAGATACAATATTACTTGAATTATCACAAGAAGACTTGATAACAATATTTATTGGACACTTAGACTCTACTGTGGAAATGAAGGACTTAGACACAAAGGAACCAGATCGTGAAGGAAAATTAGATTGAGTTGAACATGAGGAAGGCTGATAAGGTAGAACAGATGAGAGATTCAATTGATATAGCCCAACTTTAAGTTCTCCTTGCAGTAGCACTATGTTGGAGACTTTGTCTTTAACCACACAACAATCAGAAGAAAATTCAACCATAACATTTTTATCCTTTGTAAATTTGGAAATACTAAGCAAGTTTTTAGTAATCCTAGGAACACATAATACATTTTTCAAGTAAAGACATTTAGATTTTAATGAACTAGGCAAGAAAGTAAGACCAACGTGTGACATATTAAGAAACTCACCGCTGCGAACTTGTAATTGTTCAGCTCCCTCATAATTCCTACTAACATTGAGATGACTTAGATCATCAATGACATGATCTGCAGCTCCTGAATCCATATACCAGGCAGGATCCTATGTCGTAGCTGATGTAACAGTCATGGATGCTCTAGGGTGCATAGGACCAGAGAAGCTTGGATGAGCAGCAAAGTAAGCTTGATTGGGGCCAAGCTTGCTGTGTTATGGCCGGTATAACAGTCATGGATGCTTCAGGATGCACAGGACTAGAGAAGTTTGGAAGAGCAGCAAAGTAAGCTTGATTGGGGCCAAAAGCTTGCTTGCTAGGAACTTTGAACCCTGCTGTATTAAGACCAACAACTGAGGTACTGGACAACAACTGCTACTATTGATAACTACGATTCAACTTTGGTTGCTAAGTCACTCCATAGGTGGAGTTGTAAGGAAGCTGACTCTGAAAATGTTGAATACTAGACGTAAGAGAAGAATGCAGTCTACCACTGGATTGAAACTGCCCAGGATTGCCAATTTGTCCTCCTAAGTAAGGAGAGGAACCATTATAAGAGGAGTTATACCGATGATAACATTGGACTGTAGTATGTCCAACTTTGTTGCATACTTGACAAACTCGTCTTCCTCTATTATTTTCTCTGCCTCTGCCTCTTCCAAAACCATTAAATCCAGGAGAAACAAGACTAGGAAATAGAGCTCCATATTGGCCTATATGAGCTAAAGAATGATATGGATCAGGAGGTATGGAGTTAGGTAATTGTTGGGGAAATAGTTGAGAGTAATGTTTGTTAGTAAACGGTCCCGTATACGCAGCGGAAACGAAAAATATAATATAATAGGATCGTTTACATGAGCCAAGATCAAGGGTATGATTTTACNTTGCCCCAGACACACTCTTTTCTTCCTTCAAACCCCAAAAAAGCTAAGCCCGGGAGTTCCAAAAAGACTTCTGTTTGTTGTTATTTGTTAGAAGAGAGAAGGAGAGATGTAGAGGAGAGAAGATAAGAGTTTTGTTGTCCTTTAAATTTTTTAATGAGGAGAGACGGAAGAGAAGATGAAGATGAAGATGAAGTGGAGTGAGGTGAGTCTTTTTTCTACAAAAAACACTCTTCATAGGCGTGCTCTTGTGTACTTTCCGTTTTCATCCTTAATAAATAGACATCCAACTACTTAATTACTAAAACAAGTGAAAGTGATAAAATTGCTGAGGGAAATATTCTCAACCCCCGAGGTATACCTCAATTAATGAACCCCCTCTGGTTTCAGAAATACCTCTAATTGGTTAATGACATTTAAGTTTTGTTTGAAGCGCTTGCAAAACTCTCTCATTTAAGACGAGACCACCTTGAAATATCAATTGGCTTGGTGATTTTTGTGTTTTTTATTATTGATGTGGTGATGGTGGCTGTTTGCGAATAAAAAAAAAATCATTTTTTGTTGTGCAATGAAAAATTAACAATTTTGAAAGCAAACAAGTTTTCTATCTCTCTCTTCTCAAGCACTCTTTCCTCAAGACTAAACTCCAATGCTTTAATGAAACACAACACATACAGTGCCTACTAAAAAAAGAAAGAAAACCACAGCTCCTCATCACAGACTCAATAATCAGAATCTACATATAAGCTAGATCGCGAATTTTAAACTCTAGAGTTTATTATAGGTAATAAACATGGATCCAGCCATCCAAAGGAGATCGAGATTAAGCGGAATCCGGTGGGCAAATGCAAGGTTTAGGATCTACTTTTCTATCAAATTATTGCTACAATCACCCAACTAATTTCAATTAAAAAAAAAACATATAAATTAAAGGTTTTGCTTCACCAACCTCAACCGGCAACCTTCGATCAAACGCTTTTAAATCTTAACGGCGGAACTCAGTGGCTGCTGCTGCTGTGCTCACCAACCTCAACCGGCAAACTCCCTCAATACAAAAAGGAAGCAGAACAGACAGAGGTTTTGTGATAATCTTTCTTTGCATACCAAAGGTTTTGTGGTTAACTTAAAAGACTAGCAGTAGAAGAGACAGAGAGGTTTTGCATTAAAAGAGTTTGTTTTCCATTTTCATGCATGAGAAGGAGACATCCACTAACATAAAATACAACAAAAATATCCCATTACTTGTTACCTTATTTACTTATCTATGTGTAAACTAGTATTTGTTGGCACATCATCGATCAAGCATAAATGTAATTTTACCTCTGTGCTACTCGGTTGCCTTATTAAGCAAGGACCCCAAGCAAAGACTAGCAGTAGAAGAGACAGAGAGGTTTTGCATTAAAAGAGTGTGTTTTCCATTTTCATGCATGAGAAGGAGACACCCACTGACATAAAATACAACAAAAAAAATCCCTTTACTTATCTATGTGTAAACTAATATTTGTTGGCACATCATCCATCCAGCATAAATGTAATTTTGCCTCTGGGCTCTGTGCTACTCGGTTGCTTTGTTAAGCAAAGGATAACATTTTTTTTTTTTTTTTTTTATGGATAGGAAAAGAACAGAAGTTTTGAAATACACAAAAAAGGGACAAACTACCGTTAGTTATGGTTAACTTTAAAAGAAAATTGTTAAAAGACCCAAAAAATCTTAAAACATCATCGACTATCCAAACATCAGACTGTATAATTATTTTACAGAAGTTAAATTAATAGAATAAATATTTTTTCTTTTATTATTTTGTCCCTTCCTCTCTTCTCTTACTTTCTCTTTCCCTTTCCTTCAACTCCATCACAAAACGCAGACCCAAGACCTACAAAACTAGCAGCACCTAAACCAACACCAACACCCACTTGCACAGCAAAGCAAAGATTTTGTCTTTTTCTTATTTTGATCTGATATATTTGGGTAACAGAGTGTTATTAGAGATATGATTTTTCCCAAGAATTGCGAAGGAAAGAAGTTTGTTTGATTGATAAAAACAAAATTGTCTATTTTTATTAATTTACATGCACCGCGTCTACTCTTCTAAAAAGTGATCAAAGAGTTAAAACACTAACAAAAACCTGTAAATTTTAATTTAATCTTGACTGTTTTTAAAATAGGGTGATAAGTGATTAAAGTAAAAGCTAGAAACCTAAAACTTAACAATTATAATAGAAAACACAGAAACACAAGAAAATTCAGATAAACAAATCAATTAAATATTTAACAAACATACAAGAAAAATGAAGCTTCACTAACGTCAACTGGCCATTTCAGACTCAGTTTTCCAAACTTCCTAATGCTTTTCCAACCGGAAGATATGATTCATTGATTTGATGGATATGAGAATTATTATAGGTCCCACTTAAAGATTTTTACTTGAAACAACATGATAACTTCAGATCACTTATGACCAAACAATGGAGAATAATAAGTTGGTTGCATTTCCTATTTAAAAATATATATAAAGCTCCAACCTGTAAGTTTTCGGATACTTTTTACATACATAGACAAAAAAAAAGGTAATTAAATCAAAATAAAACAAAAATATTATACGCACCCTAAACATTTCACCCAATAGATTAGGCATTAAAATTTTCACCATCAAACTTACCATTATGTATACATTGTAATTTGTAACTTTTTATATAATTGTTGTATTGACCACCTAAATTGTAGTAATTTGATTAGTGGAATCAATCTTACTAAAAATCATAATGATATTTATTATAACTATTACTCCCTCTTTTTTAATATAAATAACGTTTTAAGTTTTTACATAACTTTTAATGAAACAATTTCATCTCTTTCCAATTTGATTGTTTTCCTCTGATTTTGTAGGTGAGAAAAATTTGTTTATCCTGCTACACACATAAGTGAACTATTTAAATAATTTAATATATATATATATATATACTGTCATTTTCTCTCTCCTATTATCATAGATAAGACAAACGATATTTAATTTGAAAAAAAATTACACTCTCAAAATGACATTTAGAAAAAAAACAGAGAGAGTAATATAGTAGATGACTTTAAGATTCTAATAAAAAAAATCAATAAAAAAAACAAACATCTTTAACCGTTAGACAATCGTTAATTTGTCCACATTTGCTTACTCACTTTAAATCACTTTCCAATTGCAATATTTTTTTTTTTTTTTTTTTNAAAAATAAATACATAAAAGTATAAAACCTAAACGTTGGACCATTAACTTAGGGTTAGAATTTATGAATTTATTTGAAGTTGAAGAGAAGGGTACATAAGTCAAGTCCTTTTACATTAATTATTAATTATAATAAATGGTTTACATAAATAGATACATCGTATATACTTTTGACCAAGGAATATTGACATTAAAATTTTCAAACTTAAATTTTTTTTTATTTTCAGGAAAGAGAAGACACTAATCAACACATCTAACAACCATTAATCAACTTAACCTTCCATAGTTAAGGTATTGATGTAACTTTAAGAAACAATTAATTAAAATGTAATATAAAAAAAATCAAAAGATAATAAAATTGATGAATACAGCCAGCACATGCATGCATACATTTATCATTTATAGACATGTTCAGAGTTCAGAGATGGGCGATGGGACAAAAATTAAAGCCCCTTTTAAGTACAATATGAAGAAAGTTCACCTTATTACTCAATATCTCACTTCCTTACTTTATTATCTACTAATAAAAACTTGGAGACCATTTTTTTAAGAGTCCAGCTAGATGATGTCGAAATCTTTTCCTATAAATACAAATGATATTTACTTCTATTTTGGAGTTTGAAATGCAGATAAAATTTATTTAAAAGGAAATTAGATAATAAAGTGGACATTACCAAAGCTGGTGTATTGATTATCATTTCAACGTCACTGCAGGAAATAAATTAAATAATCCTTTGTAGCTTTGTCCTTATTTTCATTATAAATTAAATTACATACAAAATTAGAAAAGTGATGCACATGGAAATTTGTCAAAACTATACATTTATTTCATTAAAATAATAATAATAAAACACCAAAAAAATTATATTGCAGTCCAATATATACATGCATTCAATGAAAAATTGAGATTCAAGTTGTTGTACTAAAAAACGACCCACCACAAATTTAAAACAAACCTTCCAAACCTTTAGTTTATAGTATAATATCACTAACCTCACTTACGTATTTTGGATGTAATTTTGTCTATTGTAGTTTATAGTTGGGTGGTCGTGGAAAATAATTTATAGTTAGAGGAACCCACCAAAGGAACGGGTATAAAAATAATTTATATACGTGGTTAATTTGTTGTTATTTTATCATGATACAACACTAACCTTATTTGTCTTCTTATTTAATTTACAAATACTTATAAATAATGCGAAATGAAACGGGACTTCCAAAGCTTTTTATTAATGTTAAATGGGACATGAGAGACATATATAAATTCAATTTTCTTTATAAATGGGACCTTTGAATAACATCAATAAAGAATCATATTATACTATTCAGTGATGCAGCAACACTTAGTTTCTGTTACACTTACACATACAACATTGATAATGATTTTACGTTTATCCTTATACTCATGCATGCAAAGGTTAAGACATCAAAACTTTGTACAATTCCCCGTAAAAAGATATGAAAGAATCACAACTATCATCCTTTGCATGTGCTTCATCAAACATTGTACCTATAATCTCACAATATCAATTATAGCTGTAAAATATATAGGGTAATAATACATATTATCGACATAAAATAACTAATATACACCTACCGTACTTACATATACAATAAAACCTCTCTATAGTCATAATGGTGAAAATAACTAATTTTATTATTATGAGGAGGTTATAACTTAATAAAAGTGTAGTTACAAAAATTTATTATTTCATAATTCATGTTTTAGTAGTACAACATTAGGATTTCAATTCATGTTTTAATAGTATTAGGGTTTCAATTTAGCACTTCAATTGCCTACTTTTAAAACGGATAGAAGATCGTATCTTAGAACCAACAAAGATAAGTGTCTTTGATAGAATTGTAAATGCAGTTACTGCATGGTTAATTGATATGAAGCCACAAACAATTGTCAATTGTTTTAAGGATTGCAAAATTAAGACCCCTAGTGTCGATGAATTGCAAGTTACAAATAAAGTGGATAAGGAGAATCAAATAGTCATTGTAGAATTGAGTGATCAGATTCGACAACGTCACTACACTAATCAAATGGATATTAATGTCTTCCTCAATCATCCAAATGAGCAAGAAGTCATTTTGTTTTAACTGAAGAAGAAATCATTGCTACAATTAGACAATAAAAGAAAGAAAATAATCATGAGGATGATAGTACGGAAATACAAAAAGTTTCATGTCAAAATACTCTAAACATGCTTGATTTTTTAAGTAATGTATCCGTAAGTTAAAAGACATGGTAACAACTCTAAAACATAAATCATTGTCTCAAACAACTTTAAATAAATATTTTATTTTATCTTAAACCCTTAATGCAACATAACATATATTTTTTTGCAATATACAGATAATTATTACTATGTGGAAGTAATTTTCTTTAAGACGGGAATTAGAATAATTATAATTTATTACAATGTAGAGTTTATTCTTATTTATAACTATCTATAATTTAGAACATAATTTTTTATGACTATGTAGAGTTTATTCATATATAAAGTATCACTATAGAGAGGTTTTACTATATAATTCATTTTTTTTTTTAAATCACATTAGCATATAAATCAATGAAACAATAGATCTATAGTTAAAAGATGGAAAACCATTATATTTATGAATACATACACAAACTTCTCATATAAACTTACTTATACAAACAGATGTGTTTAATATGATTTCATTATTTTCAAATTAGGGATAAACTTAACAAATAAGAGGAGATGATGTGTCAAACATGCAAGGTTGCCACATCACTTTTTAGAGAATATTTTGTATAATTAGTTTATATATATAGCATTACTCTATTTCGAATAATAACGATCTTAGTTGTGATTGAGTTCAAATTTATGATTGACAGGTTGTGTTGACGAGCAACTTAGTTTTACCTATTGATTATGGTAAGTAAAGGTTTGCGTTGTATGTTTGGTTTATCGTATGGACGAATGTATATATGGTAAATATATTAGATTTAATTGTTTTATAGTCCCAGAGAAACAGTCAAAGCAATAATGTATACATCTATTGCAGTGTCATTACCATTGAGGTAAAATAAATATGATATTGTTACTATATATACATTCACATGCTTGATTTTATTTTGATAGTTAAATTTGATATTGTTAGAACTTTTAATACCAATTCAATATTTTTGGGTACATTTATTAATTTACCATTTGAAAGAGTTCATGAACTCTTTTTAACGCACAGCGAAACTGACAATAATATTGAATTCAGAAAACGCAGCCTATGTTTTAGAAACACCCCTGCCTGAACCTCCTCCTTCTGATGCTCCTTCTGATGAGCATAATGAATATAAAAAATGGAAGGAAGATGAACTTAAAGCTCGCTCTTATATGTTGGCATCGATGAGTGACGAGCTTCAGAGAAAGTGTGAAAAGATGAAAAGTGCTAATGAAATTTACCTCGCGTTACAAGAGTTGTATCGTGAGAATTCGAGGATAAGGCAATATGAATTAAGTTCAACTTTATTNAAAAGGAAACTAAGACAAACCTTAACCACGGTCTGGCTGAACCAGGAGATGAGACCATATTTGTTGAGATACCCAGCCATAGCGATAAGTGCAGCAAACCATGTGAGTGTATCCCAAGCAACTGCTTCAGCTAAGCATTCCTTCCATGTCACAACGCCAGTGATAAGGAGGATAGACAATCCAAGAATTGCAGCAGTAACAGCATCCATGTTCAGTACCCCTCCGAAAATCCAGAGCCCCACCTGATATAACAAAGAACAAAACATGAAAAAGAAAATTAATTACCAAACGAGGAACATCAGCATACTTCCACACACACAAGTCCCACAGAACAGGCACAACTGGATATACATCCCTGATAACAAATTGACTATGAAACTCCAACTGTCTCTACGTAACAACACATTAGGAACAAAATACTTGACAGATATTTTGATAAATGAACCATTCTTAAAAGCAATCAGTCAAGTTTACTAGACTGCATTGTCACTACAACTTCTAAATTCAGCATATTAACCTCAATCATCAACAGAACACATGTAGATTATTTCGCCCACAAAATAAATGACCCTTTCTCGTTTTCTAATCCGATTCTAACAATGCTTTAACAACTGTTCAAAACTATATTTGAATTCTGTATCAAACAGGTTCATAGTTCAATTGAATTTAAATTTCTAAGGGACTCCATAATCATAATGCAAATTAAGTGAAGAATCACTATACCATAAGAAGCAAAGTCCCAGCCATAATAGTATGATATAACAAAGAACAAAAACAAAAAAATCACTGCCAAAAGAGGCACATCCGCATACTTCCACACACACAAGTTCCACAGAACATCCCTGATAACAGATTAACTATCAAATTTAGCCCACGACAAACTAATAAACATACCCGAAGAACACAATTCCAACTGTTTCTGCAAAACCACACACTATGTACAAAATACTAGGACGGAGATTTCAATAAACGGACCACTCTCAAAAGTAATCATTCAAGTTTACTAGACTGCATTGTCACTCCAAATTCTAAATTCTACTACATCAACTTATTTCGCCCCCAAGATAAGCAACATTTTTCTCGTTTTCTAACCCTATTCTAACAATGTTTTAACTCCTTTCCACCAACCGTTTAAAATTTTATATCAAACACGTTCATAGTTTATTCGAACTTAAATTTCTAAGCTACTCCATAATCATAATGCAAAATCATCAACAGCAGCTTATTTCACCCTCAAGATAAAGGATTCTTTCTCATTTTCTAACCCTATTCTAACAATGTTTTAACTCCTTTCCCTCTAAAACTGTATTTAAATTTTATATCAAACACATTCATAGTTCAATCGAAATAAAATTTTCTAAGCTACTCCATAATCATATTGCAAATTAAGAGAAAAATCATTCTACCGTGACAAGCAAAGTGGCAGCCATAATCTTCTCATTGTTGCTCATTGGCCCCATCTTCTCCAATCTCTCTCGGGCCAATTTGGGCGCATCCGGGCTACTCTTCACAGTAGGTGGATAAATGACATACAACAGCAACGGTACCACAATCAACGACACCAATCCCGGCACAATCGCCGCCTTGGCCCAGTCCATCCACCCGATCGTCTGATTAATCGCGTTCAACGTCAACTTGGCACTTAACGGATTCGCCGCCATCGCCGTTAAAAACATTGACGACGATATAACCGAAGTTTGGAAACACGTCAGCATCAGCCACGACCCTAGCCTGTTCTCCGTCCCGTCACCGACGTTACTCCCGCACGCCACGCACAGAGACTTCACTAACGGCAAAAAGATCCCCCCGGCACGTGCAGAAACCGACGGAATCGCCGGAGCTAGCAGCGCCTCGCTGAAGACGAGACTGTAACCTAACCCTAACGACGAGGATCCGAACAAGGAGACGAATTGGTAGGCGATACGGTTGCCGAGTCCAGTTTTGATGAAGCCGCGGGCGAAAAAGAAGGCGAGCGCGATGAGCCAGGGGATCGGGTCGCCGAAAGCGGAGAACGCGGCGGAAAACGTCAGCGTTTTTGTTAGAACGGAGGCTCCGAGGCCCATGAGAGCCACGGCCCCGAGCGGCAACGGTTGAGTGATGATGCCGACGATTGTGGCGAGAAAAATGGCGAGTAGTTGCCACGCGTTTCGCGAAACTCCGGACGGTACAGGGACGAACCAGAGGATGACTCCTGTAGCTATCGAAGCTAGTAACGGCTTCATTGCGGCTCCCTGCCATGGCTGCGGCGCCGGGGCAGCCGGAGCCGACGCGGAAGCTGAAGCTGAGGCTTTTACGGTTAGTTTCTTTGAGGAGGTAGGTGATCGAATTGATTTAAGGAGCTGTGGGGATTTGAATGAGAGATTGTTGGTTAGTGTAATGGGGTTTGGAGTTAGAGAATGTGAGCGGGGAGCGAAGTTTGATCTCGGTTGGAATTTGAGATTGCGAGATTTGAGTGATTGGGAGGATAGAGAGCAAGAATAGGAAGTGAGAGCCAGAGACGCCATTGTCGCGTGGCTTCACGCTCTCTTTCTTCTTTCTTTTTAGTTGGTTGAGACTTCCAGTAGCAGAGAGTCGAGAAGTTTTTATAATTACTAAAACTTTAGGGAAAATCAATTTTCCCCGGTTGTTTCTATATTTTTCACTTTCCCCCTTTCCTAACTATATTTTTTTGAGAGTGACCAAACCGACCATGACAAGCCAACCTGACACGAACACAAGCGGGTTGAGTTGAGACAAATAATATTTAGGTTGGGTTCTGATTGAAAAACTCAACACGTTTAATCAATGGGTGAGGTATAGGTTGAGAACGAACCGTTTATGACACGATTAATAATTAATAAAAATAATTTTAATAATAAAAACACATAACAAAAATAGCAAACTAAATGTGTATTTATGTCAATTAATACTTTAAATGTATCATAAACAGATTAGTTTTGTTAATTGTTAAAGAGATCAAATGATTAAATGTGTTTTAAACGGGTCAAATTATTGAACGTATTATAAATGGGTTGACACAAATAATAAATAGGTTGGTTTTAGATTAGGACCGTTAAGGCTTTAACATGAATAATTTAAATAAGGAGTAATGTGCAGTTATCGGAGGATGCACACCGAATTCGTGCACCAAATGACGTGACACAATACTGACCGTTGATTTATTATAAATTAATATTAATCAACGGTCAAGATTTTGTCACATCATTCGATGCATAGATTCGATGTGTAATTTTTGATAACTCTATCATTTTTCTTTAAATAAGTCGGGTTCGTATTGATAATTAGTTAAACAATATGGATATGGTACGACAACTAGTTTTGAAACCCTTAAGTATTTTTCCAATGATAGAGGGTTGAAGTGCTAATTTTCAAAATGATAGGGGTGTCATGGTACCTGTTTAAAGAAGGAAAGTAGGGAAGGTGGATGTGGAGCGTTGAATAAGAAATGGATGGCACAGATGGCGTGTGGAATATACGATTGGCTGTTGCTGTTCTGTTTCGCTTTGTTAGTGTCGTAATATTTGAAGTTGAAAGGTCCGTCTTAGGTCTTCTGGTTCACCGGCCAGCTTGGGCTTATTCTGTGCACACTGACTAACCTGCACGACCTGGGGAACAATACGCACCCTCCACGTGGCCACTTCCCAACGAACCACCGGCTGAATCACGCTGGCCTTCTCAGTGACATGGATCGAAATTCCACGTGTCTAGTTGTGATTGGGTAAGGTGTCTGTTTTCGATTCTATGAGCTAGAAAGTGGGAGATCTCTGATTCTGAGGCGGGAATTGAGTGAGAAGAGGAAATGACAGGATTGTCCCTGGGAAGAAATAGTAGCCACAGAAATGCACGTGCAGAGGGAGTGGCGGATCTAGCGAAGTTTGTATGGTTGGAGGTTTATGTGTGCGCCTAAAGTAAAGTGTCGTGTGATGAAAAGGAGAAAATTTGATGGGAGAAGAATTCAATAAATTCTGCCTCCTTTTAAACACCAAGAGCCGAATTTTTCTCTCCTTTGGGCCACCTATCTTTGGCTAGCTACTTCTTTTTTTTTTTTTTTTTTTTAATGGATTAAATTTTCACATTTGAAGAAGTTTTATTGATCGTGATGGTTTGTATCGTGATAAGTATTAAGTAACATATGAGAAACTGACGAGAATTTTTATATGTGATTTTAAAATTTGGAGATGAAGGTCAATTAGGTCTAAAATTTATGGATAATTTTATAAAAGCTGAGCTGTTATTGGTATTTTAAAATACCAATTGTTTAGATTGTTATGCAATTAAAAGTAATTGCAGTTTTTTTTTTTTTATTTGGAAGCAAATTGCTTTGGTTACTGCGATTCAAAGCATGACGATTTCTTATATTAATTTGAAGTTTAATGGTGACAATTATAAGGGTTGTTACAGAATAAAAAGTTGGGTTGTTATGAATGGATTGTCAAGTATAAAAATAGGTGTTTATTCTCTTTCGAGGTATAATCTTTCCACTTAATAGAATCCACTTTTGCTTCTACATCTTTATTCTATCATCTTTCCTTCGCCACTTCTACGTTGCCTCATACTGTTCTAAGCTTCTGTTAAAGAGTAAACTTTGACTAGAAGTTCATCATTATATCCTGGAGTCAGTCTGCTGTTGAACCTTTTTGCACCACGAAGATTCTTCCAGTAGGGGCGGAATTCTGATCTTAAGGACAGTGCTTTTGCATGTCTTGACGTTGCTGTATCGTTGTTGTTTCACTGTTGTTTCGTTGCTCTATTCATTGTTGTTTCACTATTGTATCGTTGTTGTTTTGCTGTTGTCTCTCAACTGTTCTTATGCTGTTTTGCTACTAATTTGTATTAAATTCAACATTTGACAGTTTGGATTAGAAAACATTTGAGGAAAGATGAGAGAAAGGGAGCGAAATTTTCAATCATAAGGGGTGTTTGAGATAGTTTTTGCGTACTTCAACTAATCCATCGAGACCCTAGAAGTATCGACCAGATAAGAGTCTTAGTGGTTACCCTCATTAATGCATGGGAGCAGTCAAACTCAAAAGAAGATCACGAAACCTCTTTTTTGCTATTTTACCATTAGGTCACCCAATGCTGATTAGTGATTTCAATCGTATTTATTGTTAACTACTCTTTTTTATAAAGTAAATTTTCTCATTTTAGGAAAGGGGTTTTGCTAAACTACATGTTTGTAATAATATACACTTTAACCAAAGCCTTTCAAAATTATTTTGAAACTTTTATCTTAAGGAATGTGTCGTTTTATGTAGATATTGATATGATAATGTCATATATGAGATGGGGACGATAATTTTGATATATGGTTTGTGATAATATATTGTAAAAATCTCTAATGGTGTATCAATTTATATATTAAACAAATTGAAATAAATATAATTTGTGAGGAAGTACAGCATTCCAGCGTCGCTTTGGCCGAGTGGTTAAGGCGTGTGCCTGCTAAGTACATGGGGTTTCCCCGCGAGAGTTCGAATCTCTCAGGCGACGTCATTATTCAGTTTTTTTTTTGGATTTAATTTATCTTTAATTTCTAACTTAATATGTTGTTTAATATAATATAATACTGACAAAGGGGTTTTTAAGTAACAATTTTATGCCTTTTATTATGAGACAAAAATATAAAATAAAAGCATGAATATTACTACATATTCAAATTGATGTGATATTATTATAATAATAGTTACATTATATATTTTTAATTACTTTAAATTATTTTTAATTAGCTTTGATTTGTTGTGGGCTTGTAGCTAAAAACATCACCAATAATTTACCCAAATCATGCCTTTAAGTTCATTAAAAAAAAAAAAAAAAAACTGATATCTACAGAAAGAAAGTATTCATAAATCATAATAATTAAATTCATTTATTTAAAACTAAAGTTTATCCAAGAATAAGTTTCCATGCTTCATAAATTGAACATGGATTTCAAGGCCTTTTAGGTGTGCATAATAGGCCTAGGAACATACATTTTGGGTGTGCATTATGGGCCACAAATGGCATACCTGTAAATTAAAAGTAATTATTCGGTTTATTAGGAAAAAAAAGAGAGGAATCATAAAAAGATTGCCCTCATACCCTAAATTCATCCAAAGAAAGTTAACACCCAAGGATACTTTAGTCATTTAATCTGACATATATTTATAAAAATAAATGGGGGAAAATTAGTAAAATTATATAAATTTCCAATTTAATTTAACACACTTGAACGACGATGAGGTTTAAGGGTAGTTTTTGATGATTTCTTGTAAAATGCCATAAAATTTAAGTATTAGCTAAACTTAAGGGGTATTTTATAAGAATCTCCCATTGGTATAAATATACGTTCCATCAAATCGACATACTTATTTTACCCTCACTCCCTAACTTCATCCAACAAAAATTAACGCCCAAGGATACTTTAGTCATTTAATCTGACATATATTTATAAGAACAAGTGAGAGAAAATTAGTAAAATTATATAAATTTCAAATTTTAATTTAATAAACTTACCTGACGATGAGGTTTAAGGGTAGTTTTTGATGATTTCTTGTAAAAATGCCACAAATTGGAATATTATCTAAACTTTGGGGTATTTTGAAAATCTCCCACCATTGGACTGACAGAAATAAATGTTCCATCAAATTGACATATTTAATTTATATAATTAATAATTATTTTTGCTCAAATAATGAACGGATGATTGACCAAGAAATTAATTATAGTACATAATAATAATATTTTTTCATTAAACTCCAAAGAATTATGATTTCGATTTGAAAAAAAAAAATTGATAATAATTTCTAGAATTTTAAGAATTATTCGGAACGAAATTTAATAAGAATAATAAAAAACACTCAAGGACTCCATGATGATTCCCATTCCTATGCAAAAGTTTCGAGCTTATTTAGTATATTATTTGAAATATGGGCTCCGTTTGGTTCACAATTTTGTGTTTTCGGGAAAAGTTTTTTGAAAAAAGTTAAAAAAAAAGTTAGATTAGGCGGGTATTACGATGTAGGATTTACAAATTGATAAAATACCCCCTATGTTTATTTTTTTACAAAACACCCCTTATAATAAAACATTAAAAGTTAACAAAAACACCCCCAATCCACCCTCAAATACGGACAACCGGCCACCACCGCCGGAGGGTGGCCGGAGTCGCCGTAACAAAAACATTGAAAATATTTAGGGGTATTTAATTGAATTAACAAATTTAGGGGGTTTAAAAAATGTTGAATAAAGTTGAATAATATTGTGAGTTTTTTGGTATTTTACTGTTTAACTTTTTTGGGAATACTAAAAGTAAGTATTCCCAAAATCCAACCAAACGAAGCCATGATGTTCTAAAAAACTATTTTAAATATGATATGATAATATTAAATCAAATAGGACAGAATTCTAGAATATGTTTGGAAAAAAAATTCTAAAATTTTTTTAATTATTTTTTAATCCTCCACATTTGTTAATTTAGCTAAACAATCACTTTCCCTCAATAAAAGTTTATAAATTAACAAAAACACCCCTATCTATCCAACCGACTGTCGGTAGTCGACCATCACTGTCGGACGGTACTCGACAG